TGCCCTGCAGTGTATGGGACGAGGTTATGGTGGGAAATAACTGAGAAGCTGAGTAAGCCTGCCCTCAGAGCTGTGTGATCCTCCCGGGGCAAGCACAGCAATATTGCAGGCGCGGGAGCCGTCGTTGCTAGGTGGGGCCCTGGTGGCCGGAGAGTAGGTGACCACAACTGAGGAGAAGGCGAAGGAGGGGTGCCTTTGGCGCAGCCTCTTCAGGCCCAGCCACGTGTGGCCACGAGTCGTCTCTATGTGGTCCCAACCTCAAGGAGCCCATGGCTGAGGACCAGAAAGCTGGATTGGAGTGGCCCTGCCCCTGAGCAGGCAGTTGCCCACCAGCCCTAAGCCACACTAAAAGAACGTGAGATTCATCTGGAACGCAGCCCAGGCCCTGCGAGTCCTCCACCACCCAGGTCTGCCTCTGGGCCCCGCTGGCTGGTCAGCCCACGCCCACCCTGCCATCTGTGCCAGGCTCTCTCAGCTTATGGCCTTGTTCTGTCTACTGCCCCAGCCTCACCCGCTCCTCAGATCCAACTGCTTACCTGCTCACTGACCTCTTAGGCTCAGTGTCAGGACTCTGTGCCGCCAACATCTCGTCAGGCCCTGCCTGGGAAGACGGATCCTGCCTGCCTGGTGAAGCCAGAGAGACACTGCCCCGTGGGGAAATAAGTGGGCCGGACAGCCACACAGGGTCTGACTCAAGGCAGGATTCGACCCAGGGCCGCCCAGTGGAGTAATGTCCATTCAGAGGAGACCCTGGCTTGGAGCTGTCAAACCAGACAGGCTTCCTGGAAGAGGTCGTCTGGAACAGAGTGGGTGGGGCCTGGGGAGAGAAAAGGGGTGTCTAGGGTGGCAGAAAAGCCTCCGCGACCTTGTCTGTCACTCAGCACAGACCCGGTGCTGGCTGGAGGCACCTGGGGACAATGACGACTTGTCTCCGCCCTCCTGAAGCTCATATCCATGAGCTTCTTGTCCTTGAGCTTCTCATCCACTTCACCCCTTGTCCTTGTGGCCCCAGCTGACCGCTTAGAGCTCCCTGGGGCTCCTGTTCATGCATTTCTTCAACCAAACGCCGTTGGGTGCCTGTGGGGAGCCAAGTGTTTGTGTCTTCATCAACTCCAAGGCCAGGTCCCAGGCCCCCTGTGGCTTTGCCGAGGGTATAAGGCTCCGTCAAGTCCATTCTGAACCCATAGCGAGCCTGTGGACAACAGAGCCAAACCCCGCCCAGCCCAGCGCCACCCTCACGGCTGTCCTCCGAGTTGAGCCCACCGAGGCAGCCACGGAGTAATCCATCTCGTTGAGCGCCTTCCTCTCCACCAAGCGTGCCGTCATCCTGCAGACACCACGTCCGAGGTACACGGGCCGCCCTTGCCTCCGAGGAGCTCTCTGGCCGCCCTTCCTCCCGGGCAGATTTGTTGGTGGTTTTGGCAGCCCGTGGCACTTCTGAGGTTCTTCACCTGCGCCGTGGCTCAAGCAGTTTACAGTCTAGCACTTTCTCGTTGGGGTGGGCTTTTCCTGCAGTGAACGTTCCCCGTGTCTGCCACACGCTCGGCATTGAGCCAGCAGCTAAGGAGAAAGGTGACCCTCAGACCGGGGTGGAGACAGCTCCGAGGAGCAGAGGAGGCGCAGGGGTGCCCCGGGCCCTCCCAGCTGCCCCCCGGCCTTGCTCCGGAGCAGACGTAGGGCTAAGAAGAAAGCCGCACCAGGCCTTCCAGCCTCAGCCGGGCCACTGAGCAGTTGTGGGCCCCTTGTACCCTGCTTCCCCTCTTTGGGTCTCATCTGGAGAGGGACAGGAGTGGCCTGGGGATTCCTCCATATCCCTCTGAGCTTCCTGAATTGGAAGGTTTGACCTGGAAGCTATGATACTGGTGCAGGCAAACAGGGCAGCTCTGGTCCCCACCCTCTGTGGCTCCAGGGCTGCCAGGGGCACTCCTGCCCTGGCATCAGCCTGGGGCTGCATCGCCCCCAGTTTGTGCTGGCAAAGGTGAGTTTCGTGGGAGGTGGGTGCAAATTGGAAAGCTCCTTGCGACGTTTACTTTGGTTTTAAAATTTGTTTCTGATTTACTGAAACACAAATAAAGCTCCTAATGCCGGTTTTTGAATCTTGCAATTCTCTTTATACGTCTAGGAAATTTTAATAGTTCCTCGTTAGGGAGAAAGACGAGGCTTTCTACTCTCGTAAAGAGTTACAGTCTCGGGAACCCAGAGGGGCAGACTTGCCTATCCGAGAGGGTCACTTGAGTCAGAATCGGCTTGGTGGCAACGTGTGAGTGATTGTTAGGGGTCTGGGATTAATGCTGGGCCCACTTACAGACTTCCTTAAGTGCCTTTAAACCTTTTAAACTGAATTTATAGGTCTAAACCTTTTAAAAATATTTATCTGAGAGGCAAGCAGAACGTTCCCAAGTCCTTAAGCCAGTGAATTAACTAGGAAATTAAACGTACAAATATGGTGGGTCTTGGGTTCCCTGGATGGGCTGGTGCTGCTATGCGATTTCAGCTTAAAAGTCTCGGGTCTGAGGCCGTCTGTCCACTTTGCTCGGCCTGCTTTC